CTCAGCATCTGTTCTGGGCAGGTGGTGGGGAACGCACACAGGACCTGCGCACAGAGATGCCCCTGCTGATGGGGAGGGAGGGCAGGAGCCAGACACGACACGCCCAGTGCAGGGTGCTCCCCGCCACGCAGATCCCACACGCACCTGTGCACATGCCGTTACTAACACGACTGCACACAGAAATGCCGGCGTGTGGTTGCACACGTGTACAACATGTATGGTGCACACATGGACACTGGCATGCACTTGTGTGCACATACAGTGACTAACAGTGCAGTGTACACACAGTTACTGATATGTGCACACAGTATACCAGCGTGTGGTTGCACACGTGTACAACATGTATGGTGCACACATGGACACTAGCATGCACTTGTGCACACACAGTGACTAACAGTGCAGTGTACACACAGTTACTGATATGTGCACACAGTATACCGGCGTGTGGTTGCACACGTGTACAACATGTATGGTGCACACATGGACACTGGCATGCACTTGTGCACACACAGTGACTAACAGTGCAGTGTGCACACAGTTACTGATATGATGTGCACACAGTATACCAGCATGTGGTTGCACACGTGTACAACATGTATGGTGCACACATGGACACTGGCATGCACTTGTGTGCACACACAGTGACTAACAGTGCAGTGTACACACAGTTACTGATATGATGTGCACACAGTATACCGGCGTGTGGTTGCACACGTGTACAACATGTATGGTGCACACATGGACACTAGCATGCACTTGTGTGCACACACAGTGACTAACAGTGCAGTGTACACACAGTTACTGATATGATGTGCACACAGAAATACCAGCGTGTGGTTGCACACGTGTACATGTATGTGCACATATGGACACTGGCATGCACTTGTGCACATACAGTGACTAACAGTGCTGTGTACATAGTTACTGATATAATGTGCACACAGTATACCGGCGTGTGGTTGCACACGTGTACAACATGTATGGTGCACATATGGACATGAGACGTGTAACGGCAGCTGTCTTCAAGTGCTGGTGTGATGGGTAACTTTTGCTTTGTGTTTTATGCATTTTTGGGTATTTTTCAGATTTTTCTGCAGTGAGTGTGCGTTTTTTAAATACGTGATTTGCTGAATGAACGCTCGTGGACGCCTGCTCTGTGTTGATCTCTGTGCCCTGTGTATAGGTGCTGGGGGGGTTCAGCTTGGCTAGAACGCGCGGCCGCCCCCTCCGGGAGCGCACAGTGGAGGAGCTGGGTGAATGTGGACAGACCCACGTGCGAGAGCACACAGGTGTGTGATGGCTGCGCAGGGATGGCGCCCCAGAGTGAGGGCGTGCCACGGAAGGGAGTGGCGGCCTGTCGGGGCGCAGGGCTGGGGCAGGCGGGCCGTCCCTCGACCAGCAGCAGCCCACAGGGCAGGCTTGCACAGCGAGTAGCGGCCGTTAGCCTAGGCGTTACCAGCAGGACGTGCATGCGCCCCGCTGGGCCTGCTGATCAGCAGGAAGTCTGCACCGGGCCGGCTCGGTTTCCACGGAGGCACCGAGAGGCAGGTAGAGCCGCACGCAGCCTGCCGCTGTCGGTCGCCCGTTCCCTGGGTTTTCTTCCAGTTCCAACAGTCAGTTGTACGTTTCTGTAATTGTCTACGTCTATTAGGGGACATTCGCCTAAATACAGCACGGAGCGTACGGAGTGGCTGCCTTACCTGTTTTGTGCTAAAGTGACTTTTGATAGCTACATTGCCCTTGAATTTTCTAGTTTATTGTCTCAATTTCTTCTGCCGAAAACAGATTTTACGTGAGTTCAATGGCCAGCCTGGGGCGGGTGTTATGACAGAGTTAAGTTACCGCTGCAACACCAGCGAGTCAGACTGGAGTGCTGGTGTGAGAGCTGGCTGCTGCTTCAGCTCCAGCCCCTCACTACCGCACCTGGGAAGGCCGCCGACGGTGGCTCAAGTGCCCGGGCCCCTGCCATCCACGTGGGGTCCTGGCTCCGGGCTTCAGCCTGGCCCCGTCCTGGACATTGCGGCCGTCTGGGGAGTGAACCAGCAGATCCCTGTTTCTCCCTCCCTCTGTCACTCTGCCTCTCCAGTAAGTAAACAAATCTTTAAAAAAGCAGCACAGCCATTTCTTTCTGATTCTCTTCCTTGGTGGCTGGGCTCACTTTTCCTCCTCCCCTTCCCCGGCCTGAGGTGTTCAGGACGCCTTGGACACAGAGTGTCAGTGCTGGGAGCCCAGAGGCAGGGCCGGGAGACCAGAGGTGCAGCCGGGGGACCCTCAGTGAGCGCCTGGGTGAGCCCCCTCCTCCAGGGCACAGCTGGGGGGTCTGGGTGAGCCCCCACCTCCAGGGCACAGCTGGGGGGCCCTCAGTGAGTGTCTGGGGGAGCCCCCTCCTTAGCACAGCTGGGGGGTCTGAGTGAGCATCTGGGTGAGCCCCCACCTCCAGGGCACAGCTGGGGGGTCCTCAGTGAGCGTCTGGGTGAGCCCCCACCTCCAGGGCACAGCTGGGGGCCAGCAGGGAGCGTCTGGGTCAGTCCCCAGCCTCCTCCAGGGCGCAGCTGCCTCCCGTGCCAGCTGTCGGGGGTGGAGCCAATCTGTCATTTCTGAGTCTGTTCATTTGCCTGGGGGTGGGGCTCAGTCAAGGGACAATCAGAAGACAGAAACCACTCCTTGTACACAGACATTAATATAAAATATTCTCTATAAAAACAAGATTTATTTATTTGAGAGGGAAAGGAGAGAGAGAGAGGGAGAGAGAGAGAGGTCCTCCTGCCCATTTGCTCCCCAAATGGCTGCAGTGGCCGGGGCTGGGCCCGGCAGAAGCCAGGAGCCAGGAGCTCCCCTGGGTCCCGTGTGGGTGGCGGGGGCCCAAGGACTTGGGCCACGGCCTGCTGCCTTCCAGGGTTGGTTATGAGGCAGCTGCGTGGGAAGGGGAGGCGCAGGGCTCTAGGTGGTGCTCCCCTGGGATGCCTGCGCCACAGGCCGGGGCTTCACCTGCCGTGCCGCGACACCATCCCCAGTGTCGAACGTTCTTAACTGGGGAAGCGAATTCCTGAGGTTGCAAACGCAGGGAGCGGCTGCCACCCGAGGGCTTTGGAAGGCACGGGAACAGGCCGGAATAACTGCACCTTCCCGCTCCGAGAGGCGTCCCCTGCAGCTGCAGCTCGGATGTTGGAGGAAGGGGCACTGGCTGGCCGGGACCGGCATCGACAGGGGCGTGGCGCACAGCGTGGCCTCCGCTGCTGCCGTGGGAGGGTGAAGATGTGCCGCTGTCCCGGAGCGTGCAGCACGGGCCCTCGCTGCGCTCCCACCCCGGAGCCTCCCTCTGTGCCTGCTTTTGGCAGAGTTGTGGGGAGCAGCTGGCGGAGCCAGGGTCCAGAGCAGGAGTTTGCCAGGGTGGCTTGGTGGCGGGGCAGCAGCTGGATCACCAGTACAGTGCTTTCTGCCGCGACCACACCTGGAGGCGGAGAGGCCCGCGGTCAGGGCAGGCAACGCGTGTGGTCCTCAGAGGCTTAGCCAAACCTGTGTCTGGGTTTATGTTTCCAACCTGAGCAGCTGCTTCCTGGGAGGTCTGCAGGATGTCATCTTTCGTGGTTTGCGTTTTTTTAAATAAGCTAGAATGTGGCTTGGAGACGCCAGGCTCAGCGGTCAGCTCACAAGAGGGCACTGCAAAGCCGTGCAGCCGGTGAGTGGCGGCTCTGGGAGCCCATCCCCGCCTGTGCAGGGGTCCACAGGGCGAAGGTGCGCTCTGCCTCCTCCTCTTCAAATCGTGGTCCCAGCACCGGCGGGACTCGCTGGGCCACCACGTGACTGTCACAAGCTCCCCGGTGCTGTGTGTGCGCAGTGAAGTTTGAGCAGTGCTGGAGATGGTTCGTCGAAGCCAGAGTGACTAGCTTTGACTGGGCGCCGGCATTTACTCCAGGTGGGCCGGGGGACGCGGATCTCCGCCCCTCCCCACCAGCTGGCTCCTCCCTTCCCTCCTCCCCCCACCACACGCAGGCAGACACGCACGTGTGCATCCATACAGGTGCACAGAGCTATCTGCCATCCGGCCTCTGTCCTCCCTCCAGCCTCAGGCCCTCACGGGCTACACCAGGAACTCTGGTCCATGACACGACTGCCTCCCGGCCCTGGCTGTGCTGTCCTCACCGCCTTGGTGCCCACCAGCCCCTGCCAGTCTCCCTCCGAAGGCTTCCCGCAGCGAGAGAGGAGCATGCAGCCTGTGCTGTATCTCCGGGTGCTCGCGACGCCGGCCATGGACTTGTCTCGGGCACTTGTGCCTCATACGGTGGTAACCATGCATTTTGCTGTTTATCTCCTGGAGAGAAAGGAGCCGCTCCATGGGCAGCGAGCAGTCCTGGGGATGAACACGTGATGGATGAAGTGTCTGCACTCACATGGAGCTAAGAGGTCTGGACCCGACCTCTAGTGAGCAGTGAGGCCCAAGTGGCCCTGTGGGACAGAGGGTTGAGTGCCGCCTGCAGCACTGGCATCCCGTGTGAGTGCTGGTTCCAATCCAGGCCGCTCCACTTCTGACCCAGCTCCCTGCTAGTGTGCCTGGAAAGGCAGTGGAAGGTGACCCAGGTGCTTGGCCCCTGCCACCCACGTGGGAGACTGGGTGGAGCTCCTAAACAGAGCACTGGCAAACTGAATTCGCAGCCTACACTGCCGTCACGCAGGCTCGTGCCTGGGATACTGTAGCACAAATGCTTTCGTTACCTGACTGTGGGCCACGGGTCAGGCCGGGGGTCTAAGCGAGGCCGGCCCGCCTGTGCCAGCTCCAGCTGATCCGTGCTGGCACGGGAGCCCGAGTGTGAGCCTGGAGAAGCCGTGTTCCTGGAATCACGTTTGTGAAGACTTCCGGGTGGTTTGCCACGCGCATCTCGCCACGTTCCGCCTCGTGTCTGTGGCAGGCGGTTTCTAGGGTGGATGAGGAGGATCAACAGCTGTCGTCGCTAACGCCTGTCTTCTCTCTCCTCTCCCTCCCTCTCCTCCCCTCCGCGCAGGGCTGATAGTCTACCTGGGGATGATGGCCGGGGCCTTCGTGCTGGGGGGCCTGGCCGACAAGCTGGGCAGGAAGCGAGCCCTCAGCATGGCTCTGGCCGTCGGTGCCTCCTTTGCCTCCCTCTCCTCCTTCGTGCAGGGATACGGAGCCTTCCTCTTCTGCCGACTCCTCTCCGGCATCGGGTACGTGCGCCGGCTCGGCCCCCTGGCTGAGCGGTGTCCCCGGAACCCCTGGGGCGGAGACTTGGGTGGGCCTTGCAGATCCTGCATTGAAGCTGGGCCTTGGGGGGGGGGGTTAGGGACAGGGTTGGGCGGCAGAGCCGGTTTTTAAAGTCGGATGAGCCCAGGACAGGCCGCCTGGCCGGCCTCCCGAGGTCCGGTGTTTTCCTGCCGTGGCCGCTGGGAGCGCATGAGCTGATTTGTTCTTTCTGGCCCCTTCTCTCTGCAGCACAGGGGGCTCCCTGCCGATCGTCTTTGCCTATTTCTCGGAGTTCCTGTCTCGGGAGAAGCGGGGCGAGCACCTCAGCTGGCTGGGCATGTTCTGGATGACGGGGGGCATCTACGCGTCCGCCATGGCCTGGAGCATCATCCCTCACTACGGTGAGTGCCGCCGCGGCCCCCACCCGCACCGCGTGTGCTGTCCCCAGCCGCCGTCTTTGCCAAGGACGTCGGACGGATGCTGCAGACACGCAGGCCCTGCAGGCACAGTGCACACACCCAGGCCGCTGTCCGAGTCAGTCTGCGTAGCTTTTGGGAAACAGCCCAGTCCTGCCGCCTTGTTACCCTCCTCCCCACCCCCCCCCCCCCAAATCTTTTTTTCAAATGGCCTTCATGTCCCCCGCCCTCCTCCCTCCGCCGAGATCCTCTATGGATGAGCAATGTCGCAGAATCCGAGAAGTCGGTGACTCCCCTGAGGTGGTGCACCTGGCCGGCGTGGGCGGGGCCGGGACCCGGGCTTCCCTGCAGGTGCACTGCCCTGCTCACATCTGGTCGAGTGCCTGGCTGGCACGAGCGCTCTCGCAGCGGCAGCGGCAGAACTGGGGCAGCCGTTAGAGAGGGGTGCGCGGCGTCCGCGGGACAGTCTCATTCTCCTCGTGGACTGGGAAAACTGCCAGACAGGCGGCTTGAAATTCCCCATCGGCTTCGTCAGGCGACACCAGGCGGGGAAGGCAGCCATGCTGACTTTCATCCCGGCCTTGGAGGGAGCTGGTGATTCCGCGAGCACCGTTCAAAACCATTTTTGGGAAGCCGGTGGTGGGGGCTCTAGACTTGGCCGTGAGTTAGAATCCTGCAGAGCATGACGGGGCAGCAGACAGCTGCCCTGAAGCCAGGCACCCTTCCGCACCCACCCGGCTTCTTGTCGAAAGCTGTCCCTCTGCTGTGTCCCACCTGCACCTGTCGGCACCTGCAGGGCCAGGGCCTTCGACTTCCCCCGAGTGGATCGACCCGGGTCCTGTGCTGGGAGCACACGGGTCCCCAGGGGCTTAGATGCTCTCCGCTCCTCACCCCTGCACTGGGTCCTGGGTCCATCTCACCAAACCACACGCCCCTAGCAGCACATGGGGAAGGTAGGGGGTCCTGGGTACTTGGAGGGGAGCAGCCGCCCACGGGGGTCACTGTGAACAGATCTGTTCTTTCATGTCTACACCACACACACACACACACTCACACTCACACTCACACTCACCAGCCAGTATCCATGTGCCTGAGTCGATAGGGGTCGCACACCCAAGGCACAGGGGCCGTGTGTCTGCTGGCTGCCACCAGGCCCGTGCTTGTGTACTGGACCCCAGATGGAGACGTTTCCCCGTTTGCATGCTTGTCTGATGGTTTTCACCCATAGCCTCCTGGGCCACCAGGCTTCACTGTGGCGGAGGGCCCCGCCCTCGCACGGCGGCCCAGCCTTGTTTAGCAGGAGCCTGCGTCCCGGGCAGAGAGCCGCGGGCGTCCGGCCTGTCTCTCGGTGCCATCCTTCAGCTGCGTCAAGGCCGGCACCGAGAGGAGCCGTGTGTGTGCGTGGCCAGACTGCCGGGGCGGAGGGGAGCGGGGCGGCCCTGGGGCCGGGGCTTGGGGTGACGCTCTCATGGAGAAGGGTGGTGACGCGGCCCGTGTTTCCTGGCTGCCCGCCGGCTCAGCCCAGAGAGGACGCATCTGCTCTGCAGGTGGAGCCCCGCCGCAGCCAGCGCCGCCAGATGTTTGCGAAATCCTGACGGAGGAAGTGGGGCAGGCTGGAAGCAGACAGTGCTGCCTCCGGATTCATGCTGTTTGCAAGCAGCTCACCACTTGCTTTATCTAATTTAGGGCCCCAAAGACGCGCCTAATGAAGGCAGCGCACGCAGATTCTCGGGATCCCCGCGGAGCCCCAGAGCCGTGCGGGGAGGAGGGGCTTCGGGTAATTTTCGTGTCTCATAAGCCAAACAGACCTTCCAATGTCCAGATTGTATACTAAGTCCCTCCCCTCCCCCCCCCCCCGATGCATTACAGAGCGTTCCTCAGCCTGGACGCGAGCTGCGGGTGTGTAGGTACTGCCAACGGCTTTATCCTCCTCGTCTGGGAGCACTCCCGCGGGAAGGGGCGGGTTTTCAGTTAAGATTGTCCGGGCAGGAGCCAGCGTTTCTGCAGCAGCTCAGGTGCCGGGGGAGACGTCGCGCCCCACGCAGGTCCGTCCTGTGGCTCAGGCTGCCGACCCCAGCAGCAAGGGTACTCGTGGAAAGCCTGGACGAGCTCCCAGCTCCAGGCCTCAGCCTGGCCGTGCCGTGGCTGATGTGGACATCTGGAGAGTGAACCAGTGGACGGGAGCTCTTGTCCGTCTGTCTCAACCTCTTAAATAAGTAAATAAAGTTAAAATTAAACCAAACAAACCCCAGTGAGATAAGAGACCAGGCTGCGCAGGGCGCTGTCAGCTCTGTGGCCACGCGTGGCTGAGCCACCGGCCAGCGTCCCACGCCTCCCGCCGCGTCCCCTCTGCCAGGAGTCCAGGGCAGGCAGGTCAGTGGGACCACGACGAGGAGTCACAGGAGGTTCCCAGCTGCAGCCGCTGGACTCGGCCGGGGGCAAACTTGTTAAGTAAATGAACTGGAAATTTCACATCCAAACAGCTATTACCCTCAGCGCCTTAGAAGCCCTCGTGTGTATTTGCAAAAACAAATTTTTGTCTTTTTGTCATAAACAGTTTTTTCTTTTTAAAAAATACCATTTGAATTGTCTTCAGAGACGCATCGAGCAACAGCGCCGGCCGTCCTGTGGACACACTCAGCTTCTAAAAATCAGCTCTTTTGCTGATCTCTGCTGGTTTTCCTGTTCTATTCAACACCCGTGGCTCTCGATGTCACTTGGCTGTTGCTCTCCCGTTGAAAAGGAGTTTTGATTGGGAACACACCGCAGGGGTCTTGAGGGTTCATCCCCTGCCTTGGGCTGTGAAACCTGCATTGTGACCCCAGCGTGGAGAAGCCGGGCTGGGGCCGTGACCCCAGGTGGAGAAGCCGGGCTGGGGCCGTGACCCCGGGGTGGAGAAGCCGGGGCTGGGGCTGTGACCCCGGGGTGGAGAAGCCGGGCTGGGGCTGTGACCCTGGGGTGGAGAAGCCGGGGCTGGGGGGCTCTGACTGTGGGGTGGAGAAGCCGGGGCTGGGGCTCTGACTGTGGGGTGGAGAAGCCGGGCTGGGGCCGTGACCCCAGGTGGAGAAGCCGGGCTGGGGCCGTGACCCCGGGGTGGAGAAGCCGGGGCTGGGGCTGTGACCCCGGGGTGGAGAAGCCGGGCTGGGGCTGTGACCCCGGGGTGGAGAAGCCGGGGCTGGGGGGCTCTGACTGTGGGGTGGAGAAGCCGGGCTAGGGCTGTGACCCCGGGGTGGAGAAGCTGGGCTGGGGCCGTGACCCCGGGGTGGAGAAGCCAGGCTGGGGCTCTGACTGTGGGGTGGAGAAGCTGGCGCTGGGGCTCTGACTGTGGGGTGGAGAAGCCGGGCTGGGGCTGTGACCCCGGGGTGGAGAAGCCGGGGCTGGGGCTGTGACCCCGGGGTGGAGAAGCTGGCGCTGGGGCTCTGATCTGAGGCTGCAGACGGCCAGGGTTCCCGCGGCATCGCTGCTCCTCCTGAGAGGGAGTTGGCCCCGTGCGGCTCTCCAGAGCCATCCCTGGTCCTTCCTGAACATGAGTTGCAATGACGCTCGCGGGCAGGGACTGCTGAATGTGCAAGTTCACCTTTTTTGTTTTGCCTTGTGTTTTGTGTGATCTTTTTACAACTTACGGTGATTGCAAAGCATGGTCCCGAATCGTTTGCACTGGAGTCAGCTGGAGCCGGGCCGCACTTTGACCTGGCTAAGAGGATCCAGTGGGAGCTCTCGGCCTTGAAGGCCCTGCTGTGGCTTCACCTGAGACCCCGGGGCTTAGGCCCTGACCCCTCCTCCCAGTGTGGACCGTGCTTTGGTCCTCAGGTCCCAGAAATCCCACCAACTCTAGGGATCAAGACCAGAGTCCCCTCTGTCACTATGCTGTGTGCCTGCGTGTGTCACTATGCTGTGTGCACGTGTGTGTGTCTCACTGTGCTCTGTGTTTGTGTGCGTGTATCACTATGGTATGTATTTGGGTGTGTCACTGAGTTTCATGTGTGTGTGACTGTGTGTGCATTTGTGTATGTGTGTCACTATGGTCTCTGTGTCACTATGGCATGTGCACGTGTGTGCGTGTCACTGGTCTGTGTGCACATGTGTCACTGTGTTGCTGTGTACATGTGTGTGCATGTCACTGGTCTGTGTGTGCACGACTGTGTTTGTCACTGTGGTCTGTGTGTTACTGGTCTGTGTACATGTGTGCATGTGTCACTGGTGTGCACATGTATGTGTGTCACTGGTGTGTGCACGTGTGTGCATGCGTCACTGGTATGCACATGTGTGTGTCACTGGTCTGTGTGCATGTGTGTGTGTCACTGGTCTGTGTGTCACTGGTTTTTGTGCACATGTGCGTCACTGTGGTGTGCACGTGTGTGTGTCACTGGTCTGTGTGCGTGTGTGTTTGTCACTATGGTCTCTATGTCACTGTGGTGTGCACGTGTGTGTGTGTCACTATGGTCTCTATGTCACTGTGGTGTGCACATGTGTGTGTGTCACTGGTCTTTGTGCGTGTGTGTGTGTCACTATGGTCTCTATGTCACTGTGGTGTGCACATGTGTGTGTGTCACTGGTCTTTGTGCGTGTGTGTGTCACTGTGGTGTGCACGTGTGCATGTGTCATTGTGTTCTATGTATGCACGTGTCTGCGTGTGTCACTGTGGTTTCTTGGTGTGTGTGTGACTACAGGAGCAGCTGCGGAGCCAGGGAGGGTGTCTGGGGAGGGTGGGTGTAGTCCTGGGGAGGGTGGTGTAGTCCTGGGGGGTGTCTGGGGGGGTGGGTGTAGTCCTGGGGAGGTGTCTGGGGGGGTGGGTGTAGTCCTGGGGAGGTATCTGGGGAGGATGGGTGTGTCCTGGGGGGGTGTCTGGGGGGGTGGGTGTAGTCCTGGGGGGGTGTCCGGGGAGGGTGGGTGTTATCCTGGGGAGGTGTCTGGGGAGGGTGGGTGTAGTCCTGGGGAGGTGTCTGGGGAGGGTGGGTGTAGTCCTGGGTGGGGTGTCTGGGGAGAGTGGGTGTAATCCTGGGGGGGTTGTCTGGGAGGGTGGGTGTAGTCCTGGAGGGTGGGTGTTATCCTGGGGAGGTGTCCGGGGAGGGTGGGTGTAGTCCGGGGAGGGTGGGTGTAGTCCTGGGGAGGTGTCCGGGGAGGGTGGGTGTAATCCTGGAGGGGTGTCTGGGAGGGTGGGTGTAGTACTGGGGGGTGTATTCCTGGGGAGGTGTCTGGGAGGGTGGGTGTAGTCCTGGGGGGGGTGTATTCCTGGGGAGGTGTCCGGGGGGGTGGGTGTAGTCCTGGGGGGGTGTCAGGGGGGATGGGTGTAGTCCTGGGGGGGTGTCCGGGGATGGTGGGTGTAGTCCTGGGGGGGTGTCCGGGGAGGGTGGGTGTTATCCTGGGGAGGTGTCTGGGGAGGGTGGGTGTAATCCTGGGGGGGTGTCTGTGGAGGGTGGGTGTAGTCCTGGGGGGGTGTCTGGGGAGGGTGGGTGTAGTCCTGGGGAGGTGTCTGGGGAGGGTGGGTGTAATCCTGGGGAGGTGTCTGGGGGGTGGGTGTATTCCTGGGGAGGTGTCCGGGGGGGTGGGTGTAGTCCTGGGCTGGGCTGTCCAGGGCGTGATGGACAGGAGGCAGATGGAGGACCTTTGCTTTAATTGGCTCACTCACAGTTCAGTGCCTCCCTAGATGGAGACCTGGGAGGTTGCGTCTGTCCATCCTCTATCCAAGGCCTGGCCGGGTGTAGTCAGGATGCAGGCTCTCAGCTCCCGCCCAGACGTGGAACTCGGGAGTTTTGGGGGTGCAGTGGGGTCAGCCCTGGGCGAGCTCCCCGGGCGAGGCTCTGGGGCCCTCGCTTGGCGCCGGCTGTGGGCCGGTCCCGAGTGGGGCAGACCGTGTGTGCGGAACCTCTGCTGCTTCTCCGCAGGCTGGGGCTTCAGCATGGGGACGCACTACCACTTCCACAGCTGGAGGGTGTTCGTCATCGTCTGCGTGCTGCCCTGTGTCCTGTCCTTGCTGGCCCTGCAGTTCATGCCGGAGAGCCCCCGCTTTCTGCTGGAGGTGAGTGGGCAGCGGCCCCGCGGGGAGCGGGCACGGAGGGGGCTGCAGCAGGGCCAGCACTGCTTCCCCCCGGCCTGCAGGGGGCAGAGCCCTCCACGCCCCCCCCCTCGCCTAGCACCGAATCTGGCTCTGTTCCTGGGCCGGGGATTCCTGGCTGGTCAGCCTCCAGGGACCCAGGTTGGGAGACCCTCTGAGGCTGGGTGGTGGTGGTGGGGCGCCGAGCCTCCCCAGGGCACCTGCTGTCCCCGAGTGTCCTGCTTCGGAGGCCGCTGGAGTCGGGGCTGTTTTCCTGTGTTGCGACCTTGACCTTTGTGGCGAGGGCTGTACCACGCAGGGCCCCAGCCTCCAGAAAGCTGCTCCTGGGGCGGGGAGGGGGGTCCTCACACCTCCCCCTCGGGGCTCTGCGCCTGCAGTGGGCTCAGGTCAGGACGGCTCTGGCCTGCAGCCAGTGTGCTTGCGCCTGCCTCCCCTGGAGCCCCCTGCAGAGTGGCCTCCAGGCCTGTCTGCCCCCCGCCCCCACTCGCCAGGGAGTTTCTCACCTCCGGGCCCCGGGGTCGACTCAGCAGACGAGTTCCTTGGCCCCGGAGGCTGGGACCCCAGGTCAAGTGGTCCGCAGGCCACGCTCCCCGTGCAGGCGCCAGGGCGGGTCTGTCCACCCTCTCCTGCTTCACGGGCTCCCCGGGCCGCTCCGTGGCTGCAGCCGTGTGCCACGTGGCTGGCTCCCTGTGTGGTACTGGGGGCCTGCCTGTGTCCTCCTCGTCTGAATTGAACCTGTTAGACCGGCAGTGGCCCAGTTTGCAGAGAAGCCGGGGGTCAGGGCCCTGACACGCCTTACTCTGGGCCCGGCGAGTTGACCCCTACAGTCTCTCTCTCCTCAGTGAGGAGTGCGGCTCCCACCCCACAGTCCCTGACGTTCTGTGGGAGTAACCCAGGGAGGAAGGGAGTGAGGTCTGAGTGTGAGTACTTAGTTACTCAGGGTAGGAGTGAGGTCTGACTGTGAGGAGGTACTCAGGGCAGGGGTGAGGTCTGACTGTGAGTATTTAGTTACCCAGGGCAGGGGTGAGGTCTGACTGTGAGTACTTAGTTACTCAGGGCAGGGGTGAGGTCTGACTGTGAGGAGCTACTCAGGGCAGGGGTGAGGTCTGACTGTGAGGAGGTACTCAGGGCAGGGGTGAGGTCTGACTGAGGAGGTACTCAGGGCAGGGGTGAGGTCTGACTGTGAGTACTTAGTTACTCAGGGCAGGGGTGAGGTCTGACTGTGAGGAGGTACTCAGGGCAGGGGTGAGGTCTGACTGTGAGTACTTAGTTTCTCAGGGCAGGGGAGAAGTCTGACTGTGAGGAGGTACTCAGGGCAGGGGTGAGGTCTGACTGTGAGTACTTAGTTACCCAGGGCAGGGGTGAGGTCTGACTGTGAGGAGGTACTCAGGGCAGGGGTGAGGTCGGACTGTGAGTACTTAGTTAGCCAGGGCAGGGGTGAGGTCTGACTGTGAGGAGCTACTCAGGGCAGGGGTGAGGTCTGACTGTGAGTACTTAGTTTCTCAGGGCAGGGGTGAAGTCTGACTGTGAGGAGCTACTCAGGGCAGGGGTGAGGTCTGACTGTGAGGAGCTACTCAGGGCAGGGGTGAGGTCTGACTGTGAGTACTTAGTTACTCAGGGCAGGAGTGAGGTCTGACTGTGAGGAGCTACTCAGGGCAGGGGTGAGGTCTGACTGTGAGTATTTAGTTAGCCAGGGCAAGGGTGAGGTCTGACTGTGAGGAGGTACTCAGGGCAAGGGTGAGGTCTGACTGTGAGTACTTAGTTACTCAGGGCAGGGGTGAGGTCTGACTGTGAGTACTTAGTTAGCCAGGGCAGGGGTGAGGTCTGACTGAGGAGGTACTCAGGGCAGGGGTGAGGTCTGACTGTGAGGACTTAGGTACTCAGGGCAGGGGTGAGGTCTGACTGTGAGGAGCTACTCGGGGTGGACGAGCCCGGGGTCTGTGAGTGCTCACTGAGGTCGTGGACAGCGCTGTTCTCTCTTCACCCCTGTGGAAGCGGCCTGCGTGCGGAGTGGCTGGGGGCAGAGCCCAGACGTGAACGGTTCCCGGCACGCTGCTCCGGCCCTGGTGGCAGTGGCTCTCGTGGTTGGCAGGCTGCCCCCACACCCCACCCCCAGGGCAGCCGTGTGCCAGCCCCCTACGCCCCACCCCCCGGGACAGCTGTGTGCCCAGCCCCCCATGCCCCACCCCCCGGGACAGCTGTGTGCCCAGCCCGGGGTCTCACGCCCCACCCCCCGGGACAGCTGTGTGCCCAGCCCGGGGTCTCACGCCACACCCCCCGGGACAGCCGTGTGCCCAGCCCGGGGTCTCACACCTCTCTCCTTGGGGTTAACAGATGGGCAAACACGACGAGGCCTGGATGATCCTGAAACGCGTCCATGACACGAACATGCGGGCCAAGGGGGCCCCCGAGAAGGTGTTCACGGTGAGTTTCGGCCGCCGGCGCTGCGGCAGGGGCCTGGCTGTGGACGGCCCCGCCGAGCCTCCTGTCTGCTAGGGCGCGGGTGTGGGCGTCCCCGTAGGGCAGGGCTGGGGACCGTTTCTCCTGCCACTGAGAGACCAGCCTGCTGGCCGCCGCGTCTCCGTCCCACCTGCGGCTGCCTGGGGGCCAGGCCACGCCGCTTCTCAGGCCTCCTGCGGCCCGCAGGCTGGCCGGTCCCCGCCCTGCCTGGGGTCTTCCTTGGGCAGCTGCTGGTTAGACAGGAGCAGGCGCTGTGCGGTTCGGAGGCAGCCGTGTGGCCGTGCTCACGGCGGCCGTCGCCGGGCCGTGTCCGTTCGTGGCCGCCATCCGCGTGTTAGTGCCCTCTTGCTGACCGCGTCCCGCAGGCTGGAGCTGTGTCTGCCTCGTTCCTGCAGCGCTGAGCCTTCTCGGGCACGCGGTTCCTGCCCCTCTCGTGGGCACTTGGAGGGGAGCTGCCGGCTCCGAGCGCGGCCGCTGTCCTGGCTCTGAGCTCTCGCCCCAGGCCGTGTCCCGGGGGGCTGTGCCAGCCGGCGGAGCCACAGCGAGCTCCTCCCCCAGCCCTGGCTGCCGGCCTGAGTTTTGTTTCTCGCAGTTAGAACGGCCAGCATCAGTGCAAGTGCCAATTCCTGCACAGACGCCGAGACGCTGTGTCCTCCGTGGCCAGCCAGAGGCCGTGCCAGCTTCCTTTCCGATCCCCTTTCAATGTGCTTCTTCCAGGAAGTCCTCCTGGATTACCTCTCTGCTGCCTCTGATGCCCTGCTTCTGATTCTTTGGCTTCCGTAAGAGTGTTCGTCCTGGTTCACTATGGCTTCTACCCCTGCTTGTTGGGCAGGGCCACAGGACGCGCTTCTGCACTCTGGCGGCCCAGGCCCACATCCTGCACTGGGGCTGTGCAGCTCTGTGGCCGTGCACGGATGCTCTCGGGCAGCACGGTGCAGCTACTGTCAGCCTCAGACAAAGCTCTGGGACGGGCCAGCCTGCCAAGGGGTTAACTATTGCTTTTGTGCTGTGATATGGGACCCCCTGACGCCAGACGCTCTGATAGGGGCGTGGCTGCCCCAGAGAGCGTGGCCTGGGGCGAGCGAAGTGATGTGGTTGCCACTGCCGCATTTGAACTGTCCTCGTAGGAAGTCGTCAGTGGAGCTGTTGGGCAGTCGGCCGCCCGTGCTGGATCTTCAGTTTCATGGCCTTTGGAATTCGGCCGCTTGGTTTGCTTGGGTAGGGCTGCGGGAGACCTCCTGAGGCCACGTGGGTTTCCTGGGCTCCTGTTGAACGGCTCTGACGTGGGTTTCCTGGGCTCCTGTTGAACGGCTCTGACGTGGGCAAGTGGCCTCACGCTGTGGAGTGCGACCGCAGCCTGGAAAGCAACACAGAGACCGGGAACCGCAGGGAAAGCCCAGGCTGACGGCCTCAGGCCCGGAGCTGCGCACGCTCGGTCTGGGAGCACGTCCCGAGGAGAGGGCGCGCAGTGCTGGGAGTGTCTTATCCCAGCGTGCCGGAGCGCGGCGGCTGCCGGAGTGCTTTTCTTTTTTTTTTTTTTTAAAGATTTATTTATTTGAAAGTCAGAGTTACACACAGAGAGAAGGAGAGGTAGAGGTAGAGAGAAGTCTTCCATCCACTGGTTCACTCCCCAGATGGCCGCAATGGCTGGAGCTGGGCTGATCCAAAGCCAGGAGCCAGGAGCTTCTTCCAGGTCTCCCATGTGCGTGCAGGGGCCCCAGGACTTGAGCCATCTTCTGCTTTCCGGGGCCACAGCAGAGAGCTGGATCGGAAGTGGAGCAGCCGGGACTTGAACCGGCACCCATGTGGGATGCCGGCACTACAGGTGGTGGCTTTACCCATTGTGCCACAGCGCTGGCCCCTGTAGTGGTTTTTACCGGCAAGAAAAGGGGACTGGAGAGGTTCCGGGGGAGGGAGGTGTCTGTGCAGCAGTTAGGACACTGGGGACCCGGTGTCCCGGGTTCGAGTCCTGGTTCCACTTCTGACTCCAGCTTCCTGTGAGGCAGCAGTGACGGCTCCAGCCCCTGGGCCCCTGCCACTCTCGTGGGAGGCCTGGATGGATCCCAGCTCCTCACTGCAGCCTGGCTGTCGTGGGCACGGGGGAGTGAGCCCGTAGACGAGAACTCGCAGTCCGTCTGTCTGTCTGCTCACACACTGGGTGATCATGTTAGTCATGGTAGCGGGTCCCTGAGGGGCTGGGGGTAAGAGAAAGAAAGCCGGGGCAGTGCCGAGGGACCCGGAGAGCTGCCACTCAGCCCAGGGGGTCCTCAGGCCTGCAGGGAGCGCCGCGGGCCGGCGGACTCCCCGTGCTCACGGCTGAGGCGGCTGCCTCCCTCCGCACCTTGGCCGCTGAGCCTGGGTCTCCCCAGCCCTGCTCACAGCCCCCAGCCGGTGTCTCCAGGGAAACCTGCAGAAGGGGAGGGGCTGGGCACAGGTATTCCCTGAGTCACGTGAATAACGGCCAGTTACATCATGGCACTTGTCACTGTCAGCACACACACGCACACATGTGTGTACACGCACACGCATGTACATGCACACATGCACACACGTACATGCGCGCACACCCACACATGTACACACACATGTACATGCACACACATGCACACACGTGCATACATACACGTGTGTACACGCGCGCACACATACACACATGCATGCACACACACGCACACACACACATACATGCACACACACGCACACACACCGAGTCCCAGATCCCAGGGAGCAAAGCAAAGCAAACGCCCATTTGCGAGGCTGTGCTATGCCTGGGCCTGTGCTTCTGGGGGGCCTCCTGGCTGGGGTCCAGTTTGCCCAGTGGCCTCCTTCAGCCGTGGCTAGAGTTTAGGATATCTGTGGGGTGTCTGTGAGTATCCAACGATATCCACGGCATATCTGTGGAGTGTCCATGGGTATACGTGGCACTTCTATGGAATATCCGTGGGGTGTCCGTGGGTATCCGTGGCATATCCACAGCATATCTATGGGGTGTCAGTGGGTATCCATGGCATATATGTGGAGTGTCCATGGCTATCCGTGGCATATCCACAGAATATTTGTGGGGTGTCCGTGGGTATCTGTGGCACATCCACAGCATATCCGTGGGGTGTCAGTGGGTATCCGTGGCACATCCACAGCATATCTATGGGGTGTGCGTGGGTATCGTGGCACATCCATGGAATATCCGTGGGGTGTCCGTGGGTATCCGTGGCATATCCACAGCATATCTGTGAGGTGTCTGTGGGTATCCGTGGCACATCCACAGCATATCTATGAGGTGTCTGTGGGTATCTGTGGCGCATCCATGGAATATCCATGGGGTGTCTGTGGGTGCTGGACAGCTTGAAGCCCAGGCTGCCTGGGCCCTGCTGCAGAGCCGGCTGGGTTAGTCCCGTGCACCCGTGTGAGCCCAGTAGAAGAGCGTTTGCAGAGCTGCAGCCCCAGGACTGGAGGATGCGTCCGGAGCTCAGAGCCCATCGGCGCAGAGGCTCCCGCTGCAGGCACTGGGCTGGCCCGGGCGCCCCAGCCCCAGCTCTGCTCCTCTGCCGCGTCTCCAGCCTCTGCTTCGGCTGCAGGGAGGGCTGGAGGCGCTCTCACGCCTTGTTTCTGTCCCGGACGGACAGAGGTTTGTGGAGGAGGCCATGGTGGTGGTGGAGTTTGTGTTTGCTTTTCTGTTTGTCCTGGCATTTAGAGGAGGTCGTCTGCAGGCCCCGACCCTGACGACCTGACCGAGGCTCGTTGGCCTGGGGTACCTTGAATTGGCGATGAGCCAGCCCCTCCTGGGGCCGCCTGTCCCACCGCTGACCTGAGGGGACGCCAGTGCTGGCTGCCGTCCTCCAGGGGGCGCTGAGCTGCACCACCCAGCCTGCTCCCCGGTGCTCTGGTTTCTTCCAGAAAGCCAGGGAAACCCGGGAGGCTGGGATTTCCCTCTGCTGCTGCTGGGGTGTTGACAGCCACGAGGGAGAGGGCCAGGGGCTCTCGGGTGACGTCGACTCTCGCAGGCAAACCAGACACAGATGGGGATTCAGTGCATATGGGCCCACGGATGGAAGCTTCCCAAAGGCACGGTCGGGTCAGCTCTGCACGGGCAGCGGGGCTACGACGTCTCGCCTCCTTCGGTTTTCCAGGTTTCCAACATCAAGACGCCCAAGCAGATGGACGAGTTCATCGAGATCCAGAGTGCGACAGGAACCTGGTACCAGCGCTGGCTGGTCAGGTTCAAGACCACGTTCAAGCAGGTGCATGTGGGGCCAGGGTGGCTGTGGCAGGCTGACCCTTGGGAAAGCGCTAGGGCTGCAGGGGCAGCAGGCAGGGCCGCGCCCTGTCGCGTGGGCATGGCCCCGCCCCCCACGGCTCCGAGGCGGTTCGTCGGGAAATCGGAGGCATGCACTTTCTAAGTCCCTCCCCTCTCCTCCCTGGCGTGGGCTGCAGGTCTGGGACAACGCTCTGTACTGCGTGATGGGGCCGTACAGGACGAACACACTGATCCTGGCTGTGGTCTGGTTCTCCATGGCTCTCAGGTAAGCCCCGCCTCACGCAGCTTCCCTGGCCTCCGTGGGCCTCCCCGGCCTCACCTGGGCATCGCCCATCACAGTTGGATCCAGCTCCCCGGCAGGGTTTGTGTCGCGACAGAGGCTTCCGGCTGCAGTGACCGGCGGCCGGGTCCACTGGCTTTGGGCAGAGGAGACCTGTCGTCCTTCTGACAGGGGCCCCTGGAGGAGCAGGGCCAGAGGCGTTTGGGCCTGCAGCTGGCGCTGCGGCCGTCGGGGCTCTGGCCCTGCTCTAGGGTCTGTGGGCCGGGAAGTGTCTCAGGGGAGGGGCGGCCTCTTCCCCAGCTGCCCCTCACCCCATCGCTGTGGAGGTTTTGTTGACGAAGATTGCGTGGATGCACGTGTGTGGCTTCATGTCTGATCAGCACTGGGAAGTCACAGCCATGCTCAAGCTGACGGACACCCCCACCCCCTTGCCAGCTCCTGTTCTTGTGTGTGCACGTGTGCGTGTGTGCGTGTGTGTGCCATGCAGCGTTGTTGACAGATTGTTGGCTGCTGGCTCGTGGCCACTGCGGACTGATTACCCTGCCCCGAGCTTCCTTTTCTCAGCGAGGGGTCCCGGCTCGGAAGCCCCCAGCCCGCTTTCCCTGCCAGTACGTAGCCAGAGGCTGTCCCATGCCTGAGGCCTAGCGCATGTGCGGAAGGTGGTGGGGTTTCCTGGTGGCTTTGCACTGCTCAGGATTCAGGCCCAGCGAGGCGCCAGTGCCTGTGCTGAGAATCGCGTTTCTGTTCACAAAGGGGAGGCAGGGAGCCAGGGAGCCGCCGAGCAGGCAGCAGCGTCGACACGGAGGAGACGGCGAAACCCGGCAGTGCCGAGTCCCACGGCCGAGGGAGCTGGCTGTCGCTAGCTGGCTCCTCCCTCGGGCGGCAGCTCCTTGGGTCGCTGCGTTAGCTCCGAACAGCACAGCCCTCCTCTTTGCGGTGGCCCCCACTGGGGCCATTTTTCACACACAGGTTCAAGTGGGAACTCCCTGTGGCAGTTCCCAGCGCCCGCAGGTGCCAGGAAGTCCCCGTCAGCAGCCAGGAACCGTGGGCCACCTGTGAGGTCGCTGTGTCCCCCCTCACCCAGGAGACGCGCGGGCTCTGACGCCCTCTGGCTGCGGCAGGACCCCGGGGAGGCCCTGCTGTCTTGGCCCCTGCTCAGGGGGACCTGGCCTTCCTGACCCTGATGGAGAGACAGCGAGGGAGCCTGACCCCGCCGCCGGCTCACCAGGAGAGGCCATCTCAGAGCCGAGCACGCCGGCCTGCGTTCAACTCGCGCGTGGTGGTTGTTTTTTGTTTTATTCTTATTTAGGTTTATTTAATGTAACTTTGTGGAAAAGGCAATGCATTTAAACTGTGGAGAGTAGGGAGACGTCTGTCCATCACGTCTCCCTGCGCCCACACAGCCCTCTGATTTCCCGTCTTGTCACCGCGAGGACCGGTCCTTGCGTGTGTTCTCACTCTCCCTCGTTGTCGCAGTCTAAGGAGTGTTGTTTTCACCCGCGTTCCGCACACGGCGGTGTGTTCTCGAACTGGCCCGGACCTGGGCACTGACAGAGCGCGGGCTCCGGGCCTGGCGCCCCCCGCTCAGCACGCCTCCTCCACGCGCACCTCTGGGAGGCGCGGGGTCTCGGTTTGTGATGGGCTTCCAGCTTTTGCCAGCAGAGCCACGCGAGTGCCGGGTTTGCGGGACACTCTGCATTTGGGCTGGGTTTTCCGTGACAGAGGGTAACTCTCAGGGGTGTTTAGGCACCCGCACACCCTCTGTGCCGTTGTCCAGTTCCCCGTTTCCCAGCAGTGTGCGAGGGCACCTGCTTACCACCCTCGCCGGCGGGGTGTTGGAGCAGACGGGCGCTGTGATATGGGACGTGAGCGCCTTCCCCGCCAGGCCCCACGCCGGCCCCGAGTGGGCATTAGGTTCCGCTTCTCTAGGTCCGGGAGTGTCGTTTTTGTGTTTCGTGCGCTGTTTGAGCGGGAATGTCTGTTGTTTTCCTGTTCTCTGAGAGTCTGGCTTTTGAGTTGAGATCCCTGTTTGTGTTGAGGTGTGCGTCAGTCCCTAAGTCCTGGTGTTTTTATTCCTTTTTTTGGTCAAATGCTTTTCGGCATCTGTGGGGCCGATCGTGTTTTTCCTTGGAGCTGTTGATAGGATGAGTTACCCGCTGGACTTCCTCACACTGAACCCGGCCAGTGCCTTTGCGATCAGCGGGTCCACGTGGTCGGGAGGCAGACGCTGGTGGCCGGGGTGGGCTGTGCTGCACCTCAGGCCTCTTTCTCCCCCGCAGCTACTACGGGCTGATCGTCTGGTTCCCTGACATGATCCGCTACTTCCAAGACCAAGAGTACAAGTCTAAGATGAAGGTGTTTTTCGGCGAGCACGTGTATGGTGCCACGATCAACTTCACCATGGAAAACCAGATCCACCAGCACGGGAAGCTTGTGAATGACAAGTGAGCGAGCGGCTGAGGGCTTCCCCATGGACGAGGGCACCATCCCTGGGCGAGGGCTTCCCCGTGGACGCGGGCACCATCCCTGGGCGAGGGCTTCCCCGTGGACGTGGGCACCATCCCTGGGTGAGGGCACCGTCCCTGGGCGAGGGCACTATCCCTGGGCGAGGGCACTGTCCCCAGATGAGGGCACTGTCCCTGGGCGAGGGCTTCCCTGTGGACGAGGGCACCGTCCCTGGGTGAGGGCCCTCAGAGGGACGGGGGTTACGGAGGCGGGCGCAGCGGTCAGCTTGCTGTCACCGCGCGGCAAACATGGAGGGGCCCTTTGAGGAAGGCAGGAGCTGCCTTTGGCTCCTGGTTCCCGAGGTGCTCAGTTCAAGACCGGGCATCCCCGTTGGTGTCTGATGGGGATGGAGGATGGGGGAGCTGAGTGGAGGGAGGACCACGTGGTGGCCCAGGGAGCGCGAGAGGGGCTGGGCCAGCCCCAGGCCTCCAGACCCGGCCCTCTCACCACCACTCCCCTCGGAGGGCAGCTCCCAGGGGAGCAGGGTCTGCAGCCAGCCAGGACTGTGTCTCGTGCGGCGTGTGCCCCATCCACCCTGCCCACCCCTCCCAGGCCCAGGGCTGGGTGCGATGGACCGTCCCTCCTGCTGCGCTGTGTGGCTGCCCCCAAAGCCCTCAGGCCGGGGGTCGGGGCAGGACGTGAGCTCGGTTTACCCAAGGCCGCATCACTCCTGGAGCCAGGCGGGGCCCCTGTGCAGTCTCCACACTTGTGTTGTACTCAGCAGATGCACTGGGTTGTGGGTGACCATGGCTGGGTGGCAAAACCAGCAATGCCATGGCCTAGGTGGGTGGACGCCAACGGCAAGAACTGCCCCACACTCACCAGCTCCGGGCAGAGCAGACACCACAGGCTCGGACCGCAGTGACGCGCTCCTTCATCTGCACCCACCCGTGTCGGGGGTCTTGCCTGTGGCACCTGCAGCCTCCGTGCGCGAGCGGCGTGCGCGAGGGGCGTGCGGCCGAGTGAGGCCAGAGGGCGTCTCCTCCAGCTCTCGCAGGCCAGGCCTCACACAGGCTCTCAGCTCAGAGGGGACACTTGGGCTGAGCTCACAGGATACCAGAGACCTTGGAGAGGACGGTGGAGGAACAGGTGTCACTGGATATGGGGTTCGCGTTCCCAGACCTGCTTTTCAAGCACTGGGGCGCAGTCACCGGGGGCTGTGCACCCCAAGCCCTGATGGGTCAGAGCCGCTGCGTCTGCCGGAGCGGTTGCTCCCGGGCTGGTGGCGGTGAGGTGGCGATGGCGGCAGCGGGGATCCCCGGACACCGCACTCCCTGAGCTCGCCGCCTGCGTCAGGACTTCGGGGTGGTGCGCTGAGAGCTGCCCGTAGCTTGACCAGCAGAGGCAGAAGTGCGTGTCTCCCAACGCAGCCTGTAGAGCCCAGAGCCCGCACCCTTGGCGACCAGGAGTGGAGCCTGAGCGGGACTCTGCATTGCCCCAGGCCCTGAGCAGGACTCTGCATTGCCCCAGGCCCTGAGCAGGACTCTGCATTGCCCCAGGCCCTGCTTGTGTGAAAACTCAGCACAGCGGGCACGCTCAGAGCCTGGAGTTTGCAGGTTTCAGCCCAGGTAGAGCAGGAGCAGGGGAGGAAGGCAGAATCAGAGCCAGGGAGGATCGGGCTGAGCCCACCCCGTCAGGGCCCCCTGTGATGGAGCCCGCGTGAGCGTTTCCTCCAGTGCCGTGGGGCCACGTCCCAGCCCACAGTTCCTGAGAAGCCAGCGGCAGGAGGGCGGGGCTGCAGCCTGGACTGGCAGCAGTGGGCGGGGCCGTCTCGGCAAGCTGAGTCACTGTTTCATGTCAGTCACCTTTCAGAGTTAAGGGACGTTCCCAGCGGGGTTTTGCCGCTGTGGGTCCTGCGTGGTTCTCGGTGGGCTATTTTATGTCTTGATTGGCTGTAGAAATGGGCTCAGTTCCCCACTGGGCAGTGCAGACCTGGTGCAGGTGGAGAGGGACGCACTCTGCGTGTGCACCGAAGCCCTTGTGTCAGTGCCAGCCGGGTTCCATGCCGTCCTGAACCCTGTCCCCTGCATCTCGAATGTGCAGACATGGAGGGTCACACCCAGGACCCCGCTCCGTGCTCCTTCTCACAAATCCTCGGCTGCTGCCTTTGCCGCACACTGCGCCTGGAGTGCCCCCTGCTGGTGCAGCCCCTCTCCTGCAGGGCACGGGGCCGCTCCCTCCGCTGGATTTCTCGTCCACACGTGCTCTTGTTCTGTCCCCGTGGGCTCAGACGTCGCTCTGTGCAGCGTGCGTGTTTAATTTCTACACAGACCCTCTGCTGCGCCAGGCCGAGAGACGTGCTCGTAGGGTTGTTATGCTGTGGATTCTGCGACTTGCTTTTGGTATAAAATTATGATTTGGAGAATTTTCTGTGCTGGTTAACTCAATTTCACTTCATCTGAATTTCATTACGTGCTCATCTGTCCCCTTGTGTTGGGCATTAGCATAGCTGATGATGTTTTGCTTTTAGAAATGCTGTTGCAAAATGGGTTTTTAAGGAAGGAATGCTCTAGCCTTCTAGCCTGTTAGTGAGGTTGCAGGGGCGGGGGGCGTAAGTGCCGTCTCCAGAGGGGGTGCGTGAACCAGCCCTCGGGCTCGCAGGAGGTCGTCCGCGTGTATCTCAGCCGTCTTGCCCTGCTGTGCTATCAAGGTTAAGTCTTGCTCTTCTCTAAAATAAATGGTGGGGGATGGGGGTTGGGTGCCGCTATGCTGGCTGACCTCCCTCCTGCAGCCCCAGCCTCCCACACGGCACTGGCTCCTGTCCTGGCTGCTCTGCTTCCAGTCCAGCTCCTGGCTGCTGGCCTGGGGAAGCAGTGGGAGATGTAGGTGCATGGACTCCCGCACCTGTGTGGGAGACCCAGACGGAGCTCCTGGCTTTGGATCAGCCCAGCTCTGGCCGTTGTGGCCATTTAGGGGAGTGGGCCAGCAGATGGAAGATCTCTCTCTCTCTGTCTCTCTGCCCCTCTGTCTGTAACTGCCTCTCAAATATATAAATAAATCTTAAAAAAAGAGAGGGGATTGTCGATTCCTTGAAGGCTTGGCACAACCAGCCCCTGTAACTATCTGAGAAACCTGTTGGGACAGTGAATTCTATTTTCAGTTCATCTTTACATGGAATTAAAATTCTTTTCTTATGTTTTAAAGTGTATCCACGTCGAAGTGTCCGAGGCGTCCGCTCTGGGGCGGGGCTGCGCAGCCTCCCTTTGGAGGGAGCGCAGAGCCGCTCACCTGTGCTTCTCATCTTGTTTTGTGAGCCCGGGACCTTGTGCTCTCAGAGTCTTCACAGAGTTCGCGTATTTAGTGGTCTTTCCAAAGAATCCGTTTTTAATTCTGCTTGTGCTCTTCAATATTCCTTTCTTGGCGTTTACTCTTTTGTTTGTTTCTTTATCAGATTCCTTGATTTTAAAATAGGAGTGAATTTAAGAGCATACATTTCCCTCTGCCTTCTGCTTTTGCTGCAACGTGCAACTTTTTTAAAAAAATTATTTATATGAAAGAGTTACAGAGAGAGAGAGAGAGAGAGAGAGAGAGATTCTGTCCACTGGTTCACTTCCCAGATGGCTACAATGGCCAGGGCTGAACCAGGCCAAACCCAGGAGCCAGGTGCTTTGTCCAGGTTTCCCATGTGGGTGGCAGTGGCCCAGATACTTGGCCCATCTTCTGCTGCTTTCCCCAGGCCATTGGCAGGGAGCTGGATTGGAAGTGGAGCAGCCGGGACTTGAACCAGGGCCCATAGGAAATGTGGGCATCGCATGTGGCGACTTCACCTGCTGTGCCACAATGTCTGCCCTGTAGCTTTTTTTTTTTTTAAGATTTATTTTATTTATTTGAAAAAGCAACAGAGAGGAAAAAGAGAGAGAGATCTTCCATCTGTTGGTTCACTCCCCAAATGTCCGCAACAGCTGGGGCTGGGCCAGGCCAAAGCCAGGAGCCCAGGACTCCACCTGGGTCTCCCACGTGGGTGGCAGGGCCGCAGCAGGTAGGTAGAGTAGCAGGGAGGTAGGTGGACGTGGAGCAGCCGGGACTGGAATTGGTGCTCTGATACAGAGCGCTGGTGTTGCAGGCAGGCTTAACCTGCTGTGCACAGCGCCGGCCCCAACTCACAGCTTTCAGCACTTCCTAATACATGCTCCATTCTCTCCCTCAGTGTTTCCTTACTTTTTCCTCCAAGTGGGTTGTAGGGGGCGGACATTCAGCACAGGGGCTCAGACAGCACTCGGGATGCCCGCATCCCATACCCAAATGCCTGGTTCAAGTCCTGGCTGCTCTGGCTCCAGCTTCCTGCTAACGCGTGCCTGTGAGACAGCAGGTGACGACTCAAGTACGTGGGCCATTGTCACCCATCTGGGGGACCTGGGTTGAGTTCCAGGCTCTGGGCCTGGTCCAGCCCTGCTTTCGCTGTGTGGGCATTCGGAGACTGAACCGGTGGATGAAGATCTGTCTGTTTCTGTCTCTCTGCCTTTTAAATAAATAAAAAAATGAAGTTCTAAAAAGTTAAAAAACATGCATATAAATGACTCGTAGGGGTCAAAACACTGTTAAGTGCTGATCAGTTTTGTAAGTGCCTGTTTGTGTAATATGCTGAGATCATGTAGTCTGATATCTACCCTTAGAAACTGAAATGTTTCAGAACAACCCCCACCCATTTTGAAGCTCTCTTGCCAGATGAAGCCACATTTACGTAATTGTTCAAATCACTTACGTGAGAGGCAGCGAGGGTGAGCACGTGCCCTCACCCACGGATTCGCTCCCCAGCTGTCCAGCGGCCGAGGTTGCGCCAGGCTGACGTGGGAGCAGGAGCTCAGTCCAGGCCTCCCACACGGGGGGCAGGGACCCAAGAACTGAGCCTGACCTGCTGCTCCCAGGGTCCGTGTCAGCCGGGAGCTGGAAGCAGGCGTGGGGGCAGGAATCAAGCCCAGCTCTCCGGCAGGCGGTGTGGACACAGGCACAGGCTGTGCCGTAACTGCTGTGCCAAACACCCACCCACGTACACGTTTGTGATCGTTACGCACCAGTGCTGAAGTCTCCGAATCCCGTCTATTCCTTCCTTTAAAAGATTTATGTATTTGGAAGGAAGAGTTACAGAAGGAGGGAGAGCAGGCGAGAGGGAGGGGGAGAGAGAGATCTTTGGTTGCTGGTTCACTCCCCAGAGGGCTGCAGCGGCTGAACCAGGAGCCAGGAGCCCGGAGCTTCTTGGGGGGCACTTGGCCATCCTCCGCTGCTCTCTCAGGCACGTTGGCAGGGAGCTGGGTCAGAACTGGAGCAGCCAGGACTTGAGCTTGTGCCCATACGGGATGTGGCACCACAGGCAGTGGCTTTACCCACTATTCCACGACGCTGGCCCCTATTCCTTGTTCTGAGTGTATCTGTTATTGTCTGAATCGCCAGCATTTTTCTCTTCAGTGTTTACGTGGGATACATTTTTCCATTTTTTTTGTTTTGTTTTTAGCCTGTGTGCATTTTCATGCTTCGGTGGGTTTGTGCCGGTTGGTGTGTGGTTAGAGCCGACTGGCCCACATCGGCCTTCACCTTTACATTGACTGTGCAGGTATTCACGTGTGTTCTCACGCTTGATGCGGTTGCGCCAGTCTGCCATCCGCTGGCTGTTCTCTGTCTCACCTCCTTCCGCTCTGTTTTAGCGTGTTTTCCTCATTCCGTTTTGCCGTCACTGTCGGTTTGTTGTTTATCCCTCTTCTTGTTTCACATCAGTGATTGCCCGAGAGCTTAAAGCAGACGTCCTCGGGGAGCCACAGCCTCCCGTAGGGGAACCCGCTGCTCCCGCGAGTGCGCGGCTCCTTCCAGAGCACCCGGTGCGTGTCCTCACGTGCGTTTGTCCTGCACGCGTGCTGTCAGCACAGTGTGCTCCGCGGCTCTGTTGCTGTGGCCCTCGCCTCTGGCGGTCGGTTACCTTCCGCAGGCCCAGATGGGAGAGGATGGGCACTCGGCCCAGCCGCTCTGCTTCTTCTTGGGCGCCCATTATCGGGGTGCCTGGGTCTGAGTCCCGGAGCAGCTTCAATTCCAGCTTCCTGCTCATGTGCGCCCTGGGAGGCTCCCGTGTTTGGATTGAGGCTTCTGACGTGGGCGTGGCCCAGCCCTGCCTGGTGTAGCACCTGGGGAGTGACCTGTGGGTGGAAGCTCCTGTGGGTCTCTCTCTGCCTTTCAAATGAAATATGTAAAAATTCTTAGAAGTAAGAAAACAGAGTATTTTATGTTTGACTTAACCATTTCTGGAAATCCCGATTTCTTCATAAAGATCCAAGTCTCAAATGTAAACAGATCCCGTATTGTCTACACTGAGGGGCTGCCATTAGTAATTTTTTTCAAAGATTTATTCACTTGAAAGACAAAGTTACAGAGAGAGAGAGAGAGAGAGAGTTCCCAACCGAGATAGATAGATAGATAGATAGATACGTATATCCCATCCGTTGGTTCACTCTCCAGATGGCCACAAGGGCCAAGACTGGGCCGGGCTGAAGTCAGGAGCGGGAACTCCATCCGAGTCTCCCACATGGGTGCAGGGGCCCAAGCCCTTGGGCCGTCTTCCGCTGCCTTCCCAGGTGCATTAGCAGGGAGCTGGATGGGAAGTGGGGCAGCCGGGACTTGAACCGGCACCCATGAGGGATGCCGGCGTCACAGTCGACTCTTCACCTGCTGTGCCTCCCAGGGCCCCTCTGCTTGAGCTTCTGCGAGGTTCTCGGACTCGTGGCTTAGTCTGTTTCTGTGCTGCAGGAACACTCCCTTCCATCCCCCTGCCACTAGCGTTTCTTCTGCCCACCGTCCTCTCTGAATTCCGAGGCTCTTTGCTCTCCCGCCATGTTTCGGTCTCTGCGAGTTCTCTTGCTCCGCCCACGCCGGCAGGCCGTCTTCCCTTTGCCGCGCCGGGTCGGCCGTGGTGGAAGGGGCAGACTCCGTCTCAGCTGCTCCTTGGTGAGCTGCTGGCGTTTGTGTTTGACTCTGTAGCGTGCCTGTCTGCTGAGAGATCCGTCAGCTGTCCACGCGTGTCGTCCAGCTCGTGCCGGAAGGCGCAGGGTGGCTTTCACGTCAGATCCCCTGCCTTAGTACCAGTGTTGGGGTCCCCTCGGAGTCCCCTGCCCCCGATTTTGTGAGGACCATGCCTTGGCATCGTGTTGCTTTGTTCTTGCTCGTAATTTGGGGCTGTGGTGAGCCCTCTGTGTAGGTACCTGCACCCGGCTCGCTAGGCTGCCGAGCTGCGTCAGGGCCCCGGGTCCGATAGGCAGCTGTTGTGGGGGCAGCGGTGTGGTCTGTGGCCCCGGGTTCCATGTGCTGGTGGCCTGGGCAGGGGCTCTCCTCCCTCTGTTCCCATGGCCCCGCGCGCCTGGCCCATGTGCCTTTGCTGGAGACTGACCACGCACGTGCTGGGCAGGCTCCTGATTGAAGGCACGGGTGTGAGAACTCGGGAGTGAGGGCACACCCAGCATGTCCAAGCCGCAAGTTTAGCCATCCTGGGTAAGCGCAGCCGCAGAGGCTGAGGTGAGGCCGTGAGACAGGTGTCTCTCTCACCGCGCTAGTGCTGGGGTTGTTCAGAGCAGGGCCCCACCCATGGCTGCCCGGCCCCTGCTAGAAAGTGGAGCCTTTGGTCGCCAGTGAGAACCAAGTGTGTTCCGTTCCTGTAGGCCAGCCCAGCTGCGGGGTCCCCGTCTAGCTCTGGGGGGACGGCGGGGAGCATTTGGGCCGCAGCCTTTCCCCCGTGAGCGGTCACTGCTGCGCACGCCCTGGCGGGTCTGGATTGTTCACAGCGTGTCGTGAAGATGGCTACGTACGTGTCAGTGTGTGGACGCCCACCTCCTCTCCCACGCTGGCCATGTGGCTCCTGCCCCCTCACCTGTATGTGGGCGGGGAGGTGTGCCTAGCTGCCCAGCGCTCTCTGTGCAGTGTGGAGAGCTGTCTCTGGAGGGTAGACTTCTGGGACGTGGTGCTCACACCCCACAGGTAGCCGGGTAGGTACAAGGCCTGCGTGCAGAAGCGCCCGGTTGGACGTGGCTCCTGGAGTCCCCACAGCTGCCTGGCTAAGACCTGGGACTTGGCCGGGGTTGGCGGTGTCATCCCAGCACCCCGCGGCTTGCGGCTCTCCTGTTCTTGCCGTCCGTGTTTTCCATTTTGGTCTCAGCGTCCTTTTCCCCTGGAGGAGTCACCCCGGGCCATCGTCTCCCCGCAGGTTCACGAAGATGCACTTCAAGCACGTGCTGTTCCGGGACACCGTCTTTGACGAGTGCTACTTTGAAGACGTCACTTCTACTGACACGTATTTCAGAAACTGCACCATTGAGTCGACCGTCTTCTATAACACAGGTAGGAACACGCGCGGACCAGGTGGGCCCCGCAGGGGTGGGCCAGTGCCGTCCAGGAACCAGATGCTCGGGGCAGGAAGGGATTCGTGGGTTTCGGGCCAAGCCCGGAGCGGGAAGTGGTCCCCAGCTGTGGGATGGGGGCGGGTAGATGCCCGGCGTCTGCCCAGACCCTCGGTCTGCCCAGGTCTCAGCCTGGTCCCGTGTGTGACGGCGCAGAGGCTCCGGCCAGGTGTCCTTGGGCAGGCTTTGTGGCAGGAATAAGCCTGGGACATGAGCCAGCCTTCCGGAAGACCTCGGAGACCTTGCGGACTCCGAGGCTTGAAGACCCAAGACTCAGCTTTTCACAGTAATAAAAAGGGAAAATCACACCCGCTCAAATTTTGTGCCCGAAGTCAGAAGCCAAGAATATGGGAAGATGACACTGCTGCAGATGTCTGTGCTGGGAAACCCCGTAACACCTCACCACCCCTTGTTCCTTTCCTTCTCCGCTCCTAAGTCAGCAGTGTGCACAGCATCGAATCTCCCGGGTCCTTCCCCACCTCGCCTCACCCCAGGTGTGGTTCTGGCCCCGTTTTCCAGCTCACTCAAGGCCACGGCTGGCACTGGGGGATTTGGATTCTCAAGTGTTTCGCTTCTGCATTGTGCATTCCGCCCAGGTCTGTGCCGTCCAGCTCGGCACCAAGGCGGGGCTCCCGCGGGAACACGGCTTCCCTCCGGGGCGTCAGCCTCAGAAGCTTCCGTGTCTGCCCTCCAGACGGCCCTCAGTCTCTGCGTCATTTCTTCTGGGACTTTACCGTCTCTGGGACTTTACTGTCCTCAGTAGGAGTTCCAGAAAGTCCCCGTTTGTCATTGAATAGAGCCCGCCCTTCCTTCCCTTGCGGGTTACTGTCAGGCCTAGTGTGGGGAGTTTGCAAGTGTGCGAGCTGGGGCGGGGCCATGGAGAGGACCAAGTCAGGGCCTCGCATCTGCAGTGGGCACTCAGGGAGGGTGCAGCGCGTGCGCCCCGGGGCCAGGGCTGTGGGGCGCTGTCTGCCCTTCCTGCCCAGCCAGCTGGGTCCAGCAGGTGCCAGAGGACGTGCCAGTCGGCCCCAGAGCAGGCGGTTTCTGTGTTTGTGGACGCTCAGGTTTCTGTACGGACCACAGGTCTCTGCTTCCTGAAGCGGAGCAGCCTCAGAGGCTCGGCCAGCGCTGTGGCCCTCGGTGTCACGGATGTGCAGTTTAGAGGCCCCCAGCTCTGTGGTCTCCTGCCTCGTTGTTTAGGGAGAGGCCCTTAAACCATTTGCTTTTTTTTTTTTTAAGATTTGTTTATTTATTTATTTGAAAGAGTTACATAGAGAGAGAAGGAGAGGCAGAGACATACACACACACACACACACACACACACAGAGGTCTTCCATCCACTGGTTCACTCAACAGTTGGCCGCAACGGCTAGAGCTGAGCCGATCTGAAGCCAGGAACCAGGAGCTTCTCTGGGTCTCCCATGTGGGTGCAGGGGCCCAAGCACCTGGGCCATCTTCTACTGCTTTCTCAGGGCATAGCAGAGAGCTGGATTGGAAGTGGAGCAGCCGGGTCTTGAACTGGTGCCCATATGGGATGCCGGCACTGCAGGTGGCAGGTTAACCCACTACACCACAGTGCCGGCCTTTGCTATTTTTTTTAAGATTTATTTATTTATTTGAAAGAGTTACAGAGAGGGAAGGAGGGAGAAAGGGAGAGAGGAAGGGAGGGAGGGAGAAAGAGAGACAGAGACAGACAGACACAGATGGATCTTCCATTTGCTGGGTCCCTCCCCAAATGGCCACAATGGCTGGGGCTGGCCCAGGCCAAAGCCGAGAGCCAGGAACTCCATGAGGGTGGCAGGGACCCAAGCACTTGGGCCACCTCCCACTGCTTTCCCAGGTGCATTAACAGGGAGCTGGGTTGGAAGTGGAGCATGCGAGACTTGAACCGGCGCCCGTGTGGGATGCTGGAGCCACAAGTGACGGCTGTACCACGGCAGCCCCTTTTGGAACTTGGACAGAGCATTCCAATGTCGGGGTTTCTCTGTGCATCCACACCTGGCCACGTGGCACTAGGCTTTGACGGTTCTGAGCGCCAGAGGCTGCTCGGGACAGGAGGCCCAGCCTCTACCCACGCTGCCCTGCCACGGGACCACAGCTTTCGTGTCTCCCCAGACCTGGACGAGCACAAGTTCATCAACTGCCGCTTCGTCAACACCACCTTCCTGGAGCAGAAGGAGGGCTGCCACATGGACCTGGAGGAGGACAACGACTTCCTGGTCTACCTCGTCAGCTTCCTGGGCAGCCTCTCCGTCCTGCCCGGGAACATCATCTCGGCACTGCTCATGGACAGAGTCGGCAGGCTCAAGATGATTGGTGAGTGCGCCGCCGAGCCGCGTGGCTGCCCGTGGGCGAGCACGTGGCGTCCAGGGGCGTGAACGCGATGGGAGTCGCCCAGGAGCTGCTGCGGTGCCCGCGAGGCTCACCTGGTCCAGGGCACCCTGGGAGCAGCCGCGCGCGGGCCCAGGCAAGGGCCCCTTCCCTTGAAACAGGCCCCCACCCACCCGCCTCGTGGGATCGTGGCACAGAACACTGGAATGACAGCGTGGTGGTTTGCTTCCGCTCGTGTCACCTGTTCAGTGGCGGTGATGAGGGTTTGGGGCTGCAGTCGGCTCTGACGTTGAACTTGTTCCCGTCCCTCTCTGGCCTCCGGTTCCTGGTTGAAAGGTGGAGGACCCCTGTGGCCTGCTGGGGGGTCACGTGAGCATGGACAGAGGTTCTTGTAATGGGGTCTGGGGCAGGCTCGGGGGCTGTGTCCACCTGTGCCTGGCTTCCTCTCCCCAGGAACAGAAGACACACGCTGGGGGGGGGGCTGCTGGAATCCTTCAAGGCTGCTGAGGTTCTGCCTGGGTCGTGGCTGACCAGGAAAGTCGTGCCAGGCTTATGGGGGAACAAGACCAATCCCTTGTCATTTGCACAGCCCAGAGACTTGCACCGGCTTCGTAGGGAAGTCTCCTGGTGTTGTGCTGCCCGTGGACATCCCTAGCCCGAGGCCAGGGAGCCCAGCACCGCCCGTGCGTCAGCCGTGTGGGCCTGTGCTGTGAAGCCCTGGCCGCCGCCCGGCTAGAGTCCCCGTGGGCCGTGGTTGTTCATGGTCCTACAAGGGAGGGGCTGGGGCCCAGCCCAGTACCCGCCGTGCCGGAGGTGTTTGCCGCTGCTGCCCCTGTCCCAGACCAGCCAGAAGCAGCCGGCTCCAAGCCGAGGCACCACGGTGGGGGCAGCAGATCATCGCTGCTGTTGTTTCTCTGAGCTCCCATTCTGTCTCTGTTAAAATCGATCTCTGGTTGCTCCGCTGGGCTGGGGAGGGTGTGAGAGCCAACCAGGGTCCCTCGGGCCGCTCTGTCGGGAGAGACCGTGGTCTGACAGCGAGTTCTACGGTGAGGTCCCCGAGGCACCGAGGCAGCTCTGGGGAGGCAGGGCCTGCAGGCTGGGCTGTGGTGGGCGGAAGGAGTAGGGCTGCCCCGACCTCCACGTGGGGGCTGAGCGCAGGCAGGGCCGCGGGAGGCCAGCTCCCGTTCCTCACCTGGGCAGCCGGCTGCACCGCGGCCACACTGACCCCTGGAGAGCTGCAGCCATTGCATGCCCTGCTGTGCTGTGTCTGCTTCCTTGCCCAGCTCCTTGGGGGCTTGCACTGACCCCGGGCACGGTGCTGCTGCTGTCCGCGGGGCTGAGATGGGGACAGTGAGGCCGCAGAGGCTGTGGCTGAAGCCAGGGGCCGGAAGCTCAGTCTGCTCATTCAGGGACCCAACCACCTGATGCCGCTCAGCCTGCATGGGCAGGGAGCTGGGTCAGAGATGGACGCCGGTGCTCTGTGTGATGCGGGAAGGAGCGTCCCAGCCAGCACGGAGCCCCCGGGTGGGCTGCCCCTCAGCCAGTGCTGGTCCCCCGTGTTTGTGTTGGGAGCCACGCCTGGGGCTGGCCCTTTGAGGGGTTCAGCGCTTGGAGGACACTGTGCTCAGGGCTCCCGCGGCCTTGGGGACCCCAGCTCCTCCCTGGCTGCTGGGCAAGGGGTTACCGGAACCGCTCACAGCACTGCCCTCCCCGGAGCGCTCAGCGCCCAGGCGGTGTCGGCAGCAAGGCCAGTGCTGGTCTCACAGTCGCAGACCTGATCCCTGGCCCCTGGTTCCTCGCCCCCGGGGACCTCCCTCCCCAGGTCACTTCTGTGAACCCACTTCCATCTGGCCCCGGGCTGCAGTCCTGCTCCGCAGCTTTCTGTTCCCCACACCCGCCCCGGACTCCCACGCTCTCCGGGGCTGCTCCTGCACAGTCACACAGGGCTCCCCGGACACGAGCTGGGCGGCCGCAGCCTGTGGGAGCAGCTGTCCATGGAGCCACTGTGGAGGTGTGGACAGGGTCCTGGGAGCAAATAACGCAGATGTGGACAGCGGCAAAGGCGGGGAACGGGGCCCATCGCGATTGCAGGGACGCTGTGGGGCGGTGCTCATGGGAGACAGGGCTTCTCCAACAGGCTGGGCCTGGGCAGGGCTGGGGTGCACGGGGAGCCGTGGCTCGGCCCGGCCCCAGGGCCCCAGGCACCGTCCGCAGATGCAGGTGCATCCTCTCGGGAATATAAGCTCCACGGAATGTGTTTTTAAACTTGCTTTATTTTCAACTGATAAATTATGATTACTGGGTATGAATTGGTGGTATGATGTACGTAAAAACGTGGGATGATGGAATACACCTACTCACCCCTCCCTCCCATCACACGCTTGGCGTCCTTTTGTGGAGAGACATTGGGAATATTTTGATTTTGCAGTATTGGCTTGTTGTGTGACCCTGGGCCACTGTACTGTGCCCCGGACCCGAACCACTCGCCTCCCTGGGCTCAAAGAAACCTTGGGTTCTTCTCCCACCCCGACCCCACCCCCACCAGCCCCAGCCAGCACTGTTCTCTCTGCATCTCTGAGTTTGACTTTTAAATCAAATGTTATTGATTTTCGTTTTATCTGAAAGAGAGAGAGAGAGAGGCAGACAGATGGAGAGAGGTCTCCATCCACTGGTTACACCCCAAATGCCTTCAACAGCCAGGGCTGAGCCAGGCCAAAGCCAGGAGCCTAGAATTTGATCTGGGTCTCCCGTGTGGCTGGCAGGGGCCCACGTGCCTTGAGCTTGCACGTGTGACTGAGATCCTGCAGCGTGTGTCCTGCCGTGCCTGGCTTATCTCATTTAACAACATGTGCCCCGGGTTTGTCCGTGTTGTCACACATGACAGACGTCTTCTTCAGGGCTGTGTGCAGTCCGTTGTGTGTAGCCCATTCATCCGCGGATGGACCCGCAGGTTCATTCCGTCTCGTGGCTGCTGTGAGCAGTGCGGTGCCCAGGAGAATGGTTGCTGACGTCCCTCAGGTGCCTCGGGCGGCGTCCGGCACGGCAGTGTGGGCGCCATCCCCAGGCACCCCGGCCTCCCTGGAGGGAACTGTGGCGATCTGACCCGTTCAGAGGGCTTGGATCCCGTGGCCCGGGAGCCACGTGAGGGTTCGAGCTGTGCTGTCCCCACGTGGGGCTGAGCGGTCAGCAGGCGTCCTGTGGGGTGGGAGACGGCAGGGCCTGCGGGCGGCCGTCGTGGTGCAGGCTCGGCCCTCACGCTCCCCTCCCCCGCAGGCGGCTCCATGCTCATCTCCGCGCTCTGCTGCTTCTTCCTCTTCTTCGGCAACAGCGAGTCCGCCATGATCGGCTGGCAGTGCCTGTTCTGCGGGACCAGCATCGCGGCCTGGAACGCCCTGGACGTGATCACCGTGGAGCTGTACCCCACCAACCAGAGGTCAGTTCTTGCCTGGCTGGCCCCCGGGGCTCGCCGGGGCGCTCTGGCCGGGGGCGCACCTGCTCGCCACATCCTGCACCGTGTCCGGCTGTGCTGGTCTTCCGGTGTCTCATGAACCGAAGGCCTCTTGGGTCTCTGAGTTTCTCCTGCATGGGGCGGGCAGGGGCCCTGAGCCAGCAGGCCCGGAGTCCTGGGGGAGGGAAGACTCGCGTGTCAGGCGGTGCCCAGGGCGGCCAGGTGGGCTTGCCAGTGGGAGGCAAAGCAGGTGAGAAGCAGAATGGCCAGGCGGGGCAGGAGGGCTGGGGTGTCTCAGGGGTGTGGCAGGGACGCCGGCCTGCACTTGTGTTCGGCGTGTGTCTGTGGGAAGCACTTTGGTAATAAAGGCGCAACCCCGGGCCGGGGCGGGGCGGTCGTTTCTGCTCAGGGAGGAGGAATGGCGCATCTCCGGCCTGCAGAGGTGTGGGCAGTGGGCAGCGGCGAGGGCTGGGGCTCGGGCAGCTGCGGGAGGGCACGGTGGCCTATCCCAGCCTCCCATCCCCAGCCAGATAACTGCCGTGTCTGGCCAAGAATGAGAGGAAGAAAAACCCCATTGTTGAATGGGGCGTGCTTCTACATCTGGGAAACCTGAGAAACAGGGAGCAGCTGGGTCAGGTGGCCGGCGACAGCGCCAATTAATTATGTGTAAGTTTTTAAGTTTACCCGACAAGCTAAGGACAACCCAGATCCATTTCATGGCCGCAGAATCTGACGAATCCATTGAAATATCACGACACTCGCGTGAGGGATACGTGCAGCTTCCCTGAGAGGCACTGATGTCAAGATGGACGTCTTATGGATAAGATTCAGAGTTGCAGAACTGTCCCGTTCTCCTTAGTTCTTCTCTAGCTCAAAAGGTCTACCCAAAATCCTACGAGCATTTTCCCCAAGGGAACTTGAGAGAGTTATTGGAAGTTTACTTGCAAAAGCACACGTGAAAATGGTGATGGGATTCTGAAACCAAGACTTGGCTGGGGCTGTGGTGATGTGCGGTTCCAGGCGGTAACTGCGCGCCCATTCTTAGACTTGCGGTGTGGAAGGAAATGTTCCGTGTTGGGTGGTGACCGTGTGGGGATACTGTATCTCTAGGTGGGGTCGTGAGGTGGACATGGTCCGTGACAGCTGTCCATGGTCACAGGTGGACGCGGTCCATCATAGCTGTGCATGGTTGTGGGGTGGACATGGCCCATCGTATCTGTCCATGGTCATGGGGTGGACATGGTCCATGATAGCTGTCCACAGTCACGGGTGGACATGGTCCATCATAGCTGTCCATGGTTGTGGGGTGGACATGGCCCATCATATCTGTCCATGGTCATGGGGTGGACATGGTCCATCACAGCTGTCCACAGACACGGGTGGACATGGTCCATCACAGCTGTGCATGGTTGTGGGGTGGACATGGTCCATCATAGCTGTGCATGGTTGTGGGGTGGACATGGTCCATCATATCTGTCCATGGTCACAGGTGGACATGGTCCATCACAGCTGTCCACAGTCACGGGTGGACATGGTCCATCATAGCTGACCATGGTCGTGGGGTGGACATGGTCCATCATAGCTGACCATGGTCGTGGGGTGGACATGGCCCATCATATCTGTCCATGGTCACAGGTGGACATGGTCCCTCATAGCTGTCCACAGTCACGGGTAGACATGGTCCATCACAGCTGTCCATAGGGACTGAGGGACATAGCTGTCCGTGGTGACCAAGGGGCAGTGGTTGGCACTGGGTTCTGCTGGAGATGACAGATGCCCAGATCTCTGCAGCCCTGGCGGGAGGGCCGTCACGCTCTGTCCTGTGAGTGCCCGCAGGCCATGTGGGCCCCTGAGTGCAGGAGGCAAGGAGAGGGGCTGGGGGAGGCCAGAGCGGAGGCCTGCCCTGGAGCTCCGTCCAGGACAGTCTTGGGAGTGGCCACACATGCCCACACCTCACTGTCCCGCACGGCAGCCTGGGGCGTGTGTGTCTGGGGCGGCGGGCGCCTGTGCTGCCGGAGGCCCCGGTCTGGCTGTGGGGCCTGGCACCTGCTCTGCGCGCTTCCTAGTTCTGGTATTTCACCGGGCGCGAGTGCTAAGTGTGAACAGCTTTAGGAATGTTGTGTTTGGGGTGGAAAGGCGGTCTCCTGGCATCCTGCGGGATGCTCGGGTGGTGCGGGGAGGCAGCCCCGCCACCGCCACTCGGCTCCCGTGGGGAGGCGGCCCTCGGACGCTCGGGGCCGAGCCCGCCCCTTGTCTACGACACGCAGGCCTCAGACCCTGTCCCTTCTCTCCTTTGCAGGGCCACAGCCTTTGGCATCCTCAATGGATTATGCAAGTTTGGCGCCATCCTGGGAAACACCATCTTTGCTTCCTTCGTGGGGACCACCAAAGTGGTCCCCATCCTCCTGGCCGCCGCTTCTCTGGTTGGGGGTGGCCTGGTTGCCCTCCGGCTGCCCGAGACGCGAGAGCAGGTCCTGATGTGACCACCCGTGGGGACAGGAGAGGCCGAGAGCATCGCGGACGCAGCCCCGCTTCCTGCCCTCCCCTGTCCAGCGGCCGCCTCGGACAGCGGGGGGAGTCGGTTTTGTGAATCCTCGTTTAGGACCCTCGTCGTATGTCTGTAACTCAGGGGACGGATTTGGGGGTGCCCTCGCTGCATCTCGTCTTGGATCCCCCCAGCCAAGGCACCTGGAGGAGCCTGCAGTGAGGGCACACATGAGCCTTCCCCCCCGTGAGGGGCGAGACCCTCTTGTGTTTCCAAATGTGGGGCTGAGACGCGCTGAGCTCCTTCTTGGAGCTCAGGCCGGAGGCTGGAGCCATCCCGAGTACAGGATATATTTTTGCACTTCGCGGTATCACCTGTCACATTTCCCACTTGAAAACTGGCGTGCTAGCATCGAAGACACCTGATGTAGAGACGCAGTGTTTGAGCCGTATCCACAGAGCTTGACTCCGCTCCTGAACGCCCGGCGATCGGGGCTACACGCAGGGTCGCATTCTCCCCGTCGTGCTCTGTGGGCGGACACTGATGGGGTCGGCAGTCCACAAACCCAGACTGTGCGCAAGGACATGTGGACTGTGTCCCCACACACGGAGTCTGGAACTGTGACAGCACTTCAGCCGTATTTCGGGAGCACTTGGTGTTGGAGGCCCCGGTCGCTGGGTCAGGTCGGGTGGCACACCAGCCACTTTCTCAAAGCCATGGCACTTGCTGTCGGCCGGTGCCCACAGCACACTCGCCTCGCACACTGAGCCAGGCGCTTCTCCTTGGCTGCGTGCGGTAACAGCTCATGTAGGCCACACGGGGACTCCAGCTCATCCTGGCCCTGGCATTGGCTTTGCCAGTGGTGTTCAGGTGTTCAGGGAGTGGCCTGTGGCCCTCTGTTTGCAGCGAGGAGATGACACAGGGGGTGAGGGGGGTTGGGGGGGCACAGCCGGTGTAAACTCTTAGGGTTTTTCTCAGCAGCCAGGCATGGTCCATGTTTGCAACATGGTCAGTTAGTGGGGGACATCCGCGCCCCATGTCCTGCTCCAGCTCTTTTGAAAGGCAAGCCATCAGCATGGGACGCAGGAAACGTGTAGATGCCACACGTGTTTTTCTCCAGTGCCCTGAGAAAACTCTGCCCTGAGGTCCAGTTTGGAACCTGCACAGTGGGGTGGGTGGGGGTGAGGAGCCGGGTCAGGCTGCCCCGGCCAGCCTCAGCCATAGAAGAAGTGTGACTCCGTGGGTCAGGAGCCACGTTTGGTCCAGCGGGGAACGGACGCCGGGCTCCGTGCTCCTGCCGCTCCCTGCAGGTGAGCCCTCCCCGGGCCTGGTGAGCACCGCCCGCAAGGACTCATGCCGGGAGCTGCTCTGCTCCAGCCACCGTAAATCGCCACGCTTTCTCTGTCTGGAGCGTGCCGAGCGTGGCCCCTGTGGCAGCGTGGGGCCTCCCCTCCGTGGCTGTCCTGGCGCACTGGTGGGAGCCGCCCCTCCCCTGAAGTGAGGCCAGCGCCAGTTCCGACCTGACACTGGAGTCCCCGTACGTGCGTGTGAACATGCCCCCGTGTACTGACGTGTCCCACGGCGTGCTGTGGTGGACACTTAGCGTGACGCCATGTTGACGGCGGGAGCCAATGTGATGCGGCTGTCACGCGCTTGCGTAGGCTCACGGGAGAGCCGTGGGCGCGCGGGGTTCCCACCTCCCTCCCAAGGCTGCTCCTCACGAGGCGGCAGAATGCAGTGTAGCCGCCACTCAAGGAATGTGCAGCATGGCCACAGCCTGCGTTTCTGGCTACGATGCGCCTGTCCTTCTAAAGTCTGACCATTTCTGAGGGCGGGTGGCGGCCCTGGTGGCTGGGTTGGCTCTGGTTTGCCAGCTCTGACGCCTTGTAGCTCCTGCAGCAGACCCCCGACGGACCGTGGTCAGTTCCACCCGTCCATCCCGCAGGCCTGTAGAGGGTGCAGCCGTGGTCTACAGCCTTTCCGAGCCAGTGTCACCCGGCACCGGAGCCTGGCCGCTTTTTCACGCTGTCCCACTGAGATACACGCACCTTACACACCATCCCTGGGGCAGGTACTGCGGGAGAACGTGCTCCACCCGCCCGTCCGCTTCTTATTCATTCCTCGTTGACCTTGAGGAACTCCCGTGGCATCTGTGCAGGGCGGGACGGATGGGCTGCCCGCCGGGCACGCCTGCTCCCCGAGCCCAGTTTGGGGGTGTTGCTTTCGGTGGTTTCGACTGTGTTGTGTCATCTCCTGATGCTGAGTTTTGGTTTTTGTTTCATTAAAAATAATTAGTGACAGAGGCGTGCCTGTTGGTGATGTTTCTAGCACGTTTGCCTGATGTCATGTAACGAATAACCCGGTTCCCAGCGCCCCCAGGTGCTCTGTGTTCCTGAAGAATCACAATAAACACACCCGCGTGCAAACTGAGGGCTGCGGTTGGAGGCTACTTCAGGCTCCGGGTCTCTTCGTCTTCCTGGTGGACCGAGTCCTCTGGGGAGAGTGCATGGTTCAGGAAGGCAGGGGGGTTCAGGGTCCAGCTTTCCGGTCCGTCTGCGTCCTGGTCCCCGACCCTGACAGACCAGGGGCGTCTCTGTTCCGTGGCTGCTGCTTGGTCCCTGGGGGTGGGTCGAGCAGGAGAAGGAAATGCAGGGAGGTGCTCGTCGAAGTCCACAATTCGTGTGCCCGTAGTAGTTCCTGCTGGTCCATCCTCCTCTCGGTCCAAAGCAGCAGAACTTGGGAATTCAAGTTAATGAACTCTAGTGAGCTTCTAGAAGGTTCTCAGGCAGGAGGTGGTGTCTCTGCGGCGAGGTGACCCTCTCAGGCATGGGTGATGATGAGTGACGGCCCCTGGCTTTGAGTCGCTTCTCCGGCAGTGGCGACCGTTTGGACCGGTCGGTGCCGAGTGCGGCACCTGCAGCTGTCAGGTGGGAGCTGTCCAGGAGCGATCTGAGATGGAGCCTCTCCGTGAGCTGTCGGTGTCGCCTCTCCGTGAGCGCTGCGGGGGCACCTGGGAGGAGGAGGCGTTGTGACGCTCTTGGGGCGGGGCAGGGGATGTGGCCTTTCTGGAAACACCATGGAGTGAAGGTGGCAAGGGGTCAGGTGTGTCCCCTGGTGAGAGGACACGGAGCCACATGCGTGAGCCCCGGGGGCACGTCTGCAGGGGCTGGGCAAAGGCGTCCACCGGCCAGCTGAGGGCAACTGACAGCTGACCACGCGCACCTGCTGCCATCTACACCAGGTCGTGTGCGGTGAAAGCGGCTGCCGAATGCCTGCCTGCCCACCGTGTAACCAAAGCCACTTCCGGTTTCTCTTCCTGTCCCCCTCGCCACCTTCCAGTGTCTTCCGTCTGGAGTGGACGTGCTCTGGGGACCGCCCCTCGCCGCGTTGCTCCTGGGCACGCTTGGCTTGGCGATTGCTGTGTACCTTTGTCATCCTCCATCCCTGGGGACCCGGGTTTTACCAAGCTCCACATGACGTGACCTCAAACGGTCTCTACCCTCAGAATAGCCAGATGATGGGTCACTTCCTCCCCTGCAGGAGTGGGGAGGCTGGACAAGCACAGGTAAAGCTGCCGAAGCCACGTAGCTGTGAAGAGCTGGGGCCGCGGTCTGGCTCCGTCCCTGGGGGGTGCAGTCCCAGCCGCCTTCCTCCCAGAGGACCTGGGTGTAGACGGTCACCAGCTGCGGGCGTTCCTGGGCCATTAGCACAGCGTGAGCCAAATTAGGCCAACCAGCTGTGGGGATTGCACAGGCCGGACCTCACACGACCCTCCTGTGCCCTGTGTGTCCCGGGCGATGGTGCGCACGAGCCAGCCGTGGTCCCACGCCAGGGGGGAGTGCAAGTGTCACTTTTGTGCTATTGGATTGCAGGATTGGTTGACTGCTGACCTGGCCCTGCACCTCCAGCTCTGGACCAGTGTCTGGGAGGCCCCTGTTTTGTTGAGCATTGACCTTTAGCCGTTGGGCCACGTGGTGGGGGGAAGCCTGGTTCTGGAGCAGAGGTGCTGGTCTGGGGTCGGGAGGGTTTGGCTAACTGGTGGGGGGGTGCCAGCGTGCGAGGCCACAGACGCTCAGGGAGCCGGCACCCTGGCAGGGTGATGGTGGCTTCCCAGCTACCTGCCCAGGCTGGGGAGGCCTCACACGGGAAGGCGGGCTCGGGTCTGCAAGGGGTGCGTCTTGCTTTGTTCCTGTAGCAACACTAGAGGGCAGCAGCTACCTTGTGAGAGCCTGCCCAGCAGGTGCAGGGAGGCAGCCCTGGGAGACCGGCTTCTCTCTGCTTCAGGAAGCATCTCAGGGTGGAGGTGATCCTGAACGGCATTTCCTGGAGGGCCCAGAACACGGAGACGTCTACGGGGGGAATCATGAATTCAGCCGTCCCCCTTAAACACCCGCGTGGCGGTGCCTGCCTGACCCGAGTGCACGGCTGACCTTTAACGCAGGCTCACCTGGCCAACCGCCCTCCCCCCCACCAATCCGCTCACATGGCCAGCCCCCGACCGCTCTCGGCTGCTGGCTGGTTCCACGTAGGCGAGAAGCCCGGTGTGCTTGGGGCGCTGGGGAGGATTTTCCGAGAGGTCTCTTATGAGCAAGAACACAGCCGTGAGGGCGATGTCGGTGGGAGGCGGGACAGAGGGCAGGGGGCTGCCCTGTGCCCACCAGCATGGCTGAGGGAGGGGAAACCGAGGCCAGCAGAGAATGGGGAGGCGGAGTTGCAGTCGGAACGTCCCGGGTTCAAGTCCTGGTTCTGTGATGTACGGGTGGGGGTCTCGGGCGAGGGAGGGACCTCTCTGAGCCCCCTGTCTGAGCTCTGCGTGGGTCCATTCTCTCTCTGTCTTTCCGTCAATCTGCAGTTCCGAGGGAGAGAGTGCTCCCCGTCGCTGCTGTTCAGTACGACTGATTCTGCCTGTGGTGAGCTCAGCTCCCTGGCGGCCCGTGGCCACGGGGGCGACCCCCACCCTGCAGGCGGCAGGGCCAGGGTCTGACATCGCAGGATGGTTGGTGTCTGCATTTCAGCCAGGTCAGTCCCGTGGAGGCCTCTCCTCTGGGCTGTCGGGCAGATGCTCTTCTTTTAAATGAAAACATTTGGGGCAGCTTCAGGTTCCCAGAGAAACTGAGAGGAAGGCACAGAGATTTCCCATGTGCCCTTGCTCCCACACAGGCACAGGATCCCCGTCATCACCCACCCCCAGAGCCGGGCACTGATGAGCTGCACCCACGTCGTCACCTCCCCGAGCCCAGAGTTGCCGTCCCTTCCGGGGCCGCTCTCAGCCTGTGTGTGGTGCCTTCTGTGCGCTCCCTGGGTGTGGACACGTGAATGACACGTCTGCCGTGGCGGAATCCCGCAGAGTTCCCAGGGCCCTGAGTCCCTGCGCTCCACAGGCTGGGCAGGGCAACCGCGTCCCTGCCCCAGGGAGGCGCGGTTCTCCTGGGCCTTGTTCCTGGGAAACCTTTCTGCCTGTCGGGTTGAGTCAGGGCTGGTCACTTCCGTGGCCTGGTGATGTTGCTGGGTTCTCTAGCTCACGCCGGCTCCCCACAGGGAGAAGCAGCAGAGGGGCACAGGAAACCCTGGCCCTGTCACCCCCTGGCAAGGGGGTGAGGGAGAGAGGGGCTGGGGACAGGCAGCCAAGGCAGGGGTGGAGACGCTGGAGGCTGGAGGAGGTTGCGAGGTGAGGCAGGTGTAACAGAGGGAGTGTGGTTTGAATACAGAGAAGTGGATGCAGCCGGCTACTGCGCAGCTGGAGGACCCGGAGCCGTCCCCTGTGTGCACAGCTTCCCCAGCTCAGTGCCGGGACAGGAGGGGGCAGCTCCAGCGGCCGCTGGCCAGTGACATGCACAAGAAGCAGTAACACGAGACAAGCCAGCAACGTGAAAACCTCTGGAGGGGCCCAACGGCAAGAGCAGCTGGGAGAGGCACCTCTCCGGGGGCTTCTGGGAGGAGTCAGCAGCGAAGGGGCAAAGGGGGGGTCCGGCCAAGCCTTCGGGCCCTCTGCTCCAGGAGGCTGCAGCCCAGATGCAGGCTCCCCGCCCCTCGGCCCTCAGGCCCCGGACTTCCCCCGGGCGGAGCAGGGCGTGAGCATTCTTCATGGTACTGCAGGCTGCCTGCCACGAGCTGAGTCCCAAGCCAGCACAGCAGCCACGTGAGGACACTGGCGCCCCCTCCCCCAGCCTGGCCTGCACCCTGGATCCTCACCCCCACCTGGGCACCACCCAGCCTGGGCCAACCCACCGGGCAGGTCGCTTCTGCATTCTCTCGGACGGCGTGGTGTGCTCTGTTGGCTCAGGTCCTATTGCGTTCTGCCCAGTGTCCCTCTGTCCGCTGTGAGTCTGACAAAGGTGGAGTCTGGGATGTGGTACGAAAGAGGCCATGGGCCGGGGCTCTGGACTTGAATTCCGACTCAGCGGCTCCTTTGGGTGACCTTGGCCACAACGATACAGAGCGACAGCTGATTCCAAAACCCCAGAGCCTGCAATCATCCGTGGAATCTTCGCACACTGGTATTCCAGAAGGAGAATCGAAGAGCGGTTGCAGAGGCTGGGGGCGGGGTGGGGGCCCGGGGAGGGTCCGGACTTGAGTACCCGTCACAGAGGAGAATCAGCCCTGGTGTTCTGCAGCTAACACTGGTGTGCATTTCAGACGAGGATTGTCAGTATTCTCCCCACGAAGAGCTGATGAGCGTTCACGTAGTGGAGACAAGTCTTCAGCATCACACTGAGGCCCGTAAATATGTCCAATCATTACGTGTCAATTAAGAGCGTAGAAACCCAGCCCCCCATGGGGACAGTCCTGCTCGTGTGTCTGTGGGCAGCAGGGGTGGGGGTGGCCTGCACTGGCTGGGCCCAGCTGGTCGGGGCCACGAGACGAGACTGGCAGAGGTGGGAGGATAAGGGGCAAGTCCACCTGCACAGGTGCACTTGCTACTGTCCCCTCAGCCACAGCAGCGCAAGTGTACATGGCAAAGGCGTGGCTGTGCCGTCCTGCTGGGGCGCGAGTCAAGTTTGCAGCCACAGCTCAGTCTACGGCAGGCACCTCCAGGAAGGCCAGGCGGGTGTCCGAGATGCCACCGCGCGTCTTGTGGCTTTGTTGTGAGGGCCGTCCCTCTACTGCCCATGAGCCGCCCTCCCTGCCAAGAGGCATAATGGCCACTGGTTGCTTTGTGTTCCGCCTCTTTGGACAATGGAATCAGAGGAGAATGATTGAGACCTCTGTCCCCAGCACGCACTCGTGCGCCGATGGTCTCCTCTTATGCCTGCTGTGTTCCTGTTGTACTCCATTCGCGCAAATGCTGTGGCGTAGGTGCTTCCCCAGCGGACGGCCGATTCGCCTCTTTCTGCTTCAAGTTCTCCTACAGCAGATCGCGCCTTCTGCTGCCGCACTGTTGCCGTGAGCGCTCGCTTGTGGTGTGCGAGTTTGTCATCTGGCTGGGCCACATGAGGGGAGCTCGCACTG